GATGAAAAGACAAGACTCACCAGATTAGGTTCTTTTTGGTCTTGTGTGGCAAAAGGATTCCTTCCGTGCGCGGGACGAGCGCGCTCTCCTTTGTCTCCAAAAAGGAACAGAGGCTGGTGATCCAGGTCGGCCAAACAAAGCCGCTCGTCCCCGCCGAAAGTATCCATGCCAAGACATGTCAGCAACGCCAAATTGTTATAGAATTATATACCCCATGAAGGAGGAAACTCAAAGGTCCTTTGTCTGATCAAAAGCGTAAGTTTATTGTTAACGCACGTGCGGAGGGCCAGCACATCCACTCAAAAGGCAGCATGTCCCAGCTCTGGGGGCCAGAGCCCCGAGCTTCCTGTATACAAGACACACACCAAAGATAGTCACGCCCACAACGGAGCGGAGGGGGCCACCGGTGAGGAGGCGCACAAGAAGCGCCGGCGAGAGGTGAGCAGAGCAGAACGCAAAGAGGCTACAAGGGGGGCGGTGTGAGGACGTGATTTAGAGAAAGACGTGAGCAGAGAGAGAGAGGCGTGAGCAGAGAGAGAGAGAGGTGAGCAGAGAGAGAGAGAGAGAGGTGAGCAGAGAGAGAGAGACGCGAGCAGAGAGAGAGAGACGTGAGTCCGCGTGTCTATGGTCCGCGCTCGGAGCCCAGACGGCAGTGCGTTCACTGAGCTGTCAGAGCGGGGGTCACAGCAGCTGCTCTCGGGGCCAGAGCGGAGGATGTAACGTAACGTTCGGTTTATCAAAACATATCACAATATTTAACGTATAACACTAGTGAATTTCACCTAGATTTTTTCAGACATTAAAGACAAGATGTTATATAATAATTGTTTAATGAAAAAACAATTTTGCCACAAGCAACCAAAAGATGTGCCTCAGACAAGAATCAAACCTGGGTTCTCCAGGTCCTTGTATTTAATGCTAACCATTCGGCTAACATAGCACCTCTGGAGTTAGACAGGTTTGCACGCAGTCTTATACCTGAGCGTCTAAGTCGCTGGCAGAGCTAAAGCGGACTTAGCCTGCCACCTTGTGGCGATAAGATGTACTATTTTTCACGCAGCTGCGTGATTCCCGAGAAGCGTGAATGAAGACGACAAAACGGAATGGGACCTACTGTATGAAGAGTATTGGAGGAGATTGTTTTTGTTGTATTTTAAAAGACACATATTCAAAAAACGGAAACTTCCCAAGAGACATTCTATGGGAGACAAAGTGGTCTCTGAAAATGGCAGCTAAGCCTCCTCCTTTTTTGTTTTCCCGTATTTCAGATTCAAATTTGAAATTTGGCGGTGATGCTTCTATTAAAACTGCATTTTCTGTATTTTGGTCAAGCCATGTTTCAGCCATGAACATAAGATCAAGATTATAAGAACAAATAAAATTATTGATTAAAAAAGACTTGTTAGAAAGAGATCTGACATTTAGCATAGCAAGTTTCAAAGTTTCAGTATCAGCGGTTGTGGTCGGCTGATTCTTACACGGAACAAGAATTAGATTTTCCAGATTAGACTGATTAACTCCAGATGTCTTTCTGTAATGTATTCTTTGTGTTATCACTAAGGGAATGGCACAGGTGGCTTCATGACAGGGCCCCAGCCGGGTCTCTCCTATAACTAGACTGCCAGTGGCTGCGAAGCAGAGACCCTGTGCATCCTAGTGTTTAGAGCAAAGAGGGGTAGGGGAAGGCGGGGGAGGAGGATGGAGAGGTGGGTGGCTTTTGGGTGTTGAACGAGGGGGGCAGGGAGGTGGATGGGTGTTAGGGGAGGGGCAGGAGTTGGGAGATAGACGAGGGGGGAGTGGAGGTGGAGGGGTTCTTGGTGATGGGAAACGAGGGGGGGGTGGGGGTGGGGCTGGAATGGTTTTGGGGTTAGGGGAGGGACCTGTGGATTTTGCGGGTGAATTCGAGTTAGAATTTGAGGGAAGGGTGGATTTTGTGGGAGAATTTGAGTTGGACGCCCTAGGTGGCTTTGGAGGTACGTATGGGGAGAAGTTATGAATGTTAGATAGGACTCTTGATCTGGCTACAGTGGGTGTGAGAGGAATATTCTTCATCGCCGATCTTATCATGCCTGCAGAGTGTTCCGGTAAATCCAATAGTGATGGAAAACACAGGGAAAGGTCGTCCTCATGTTCCTTAGATGGAGTGGATGTAGCGGGGGGGACCAAAACCGGGTCCATGGAAGGTGATGAGGGAGTCTTTGGTGGAGACGGAGGTGGTTGAGAGGCCCCCAGTGCAGGCCTGACTGTAGCCTGTAGCAATGGGGGGGGGCTTCACGGGAGCTGTGGGTGGGGAAGGTGCTGCTGAAGATGATGCAGCAGCCACAGCTGGTGCTGGTGGTGCTGATGACGCTGTGGCAGGATAGTGCAAACATTGTAAAAAAATGAAAATATCGTCTTTTGTGCAAGATATATTATGTACAGTTAAATTAAAAGTGACTATAGCAGTGCAAGTTTAGTGTCCTTGTGCAGGTCAGTACTCTACTATTGAATATTAAAGCTGGGGTGCCCAACTTTCCCCTTCATGCTTAACTACTGTCTTGTAAAGGGAGCATTCTGTGAACAAATCAGACCACAGCATGTTTGCATAGAAAGACCTGGTCCAAAGATGGAACAAAATAGATGGATTGTATTGCATAGTTCCATTATATAGTTCCATTGTGTGTGTGCTTTGAAAGTTGGGTACCCCAGCTTTAACTCTGTAAAACCTTTTCCCCTTAAAAATGTATTTGTTTATAAGGCTCACCACAATTAATTCCACTGATACACCCCATTGTAAAAGGCTGTTAAAAATCAAAACTTTTCTAAAAATGTCTTTTGGGGCGACAGTGGCTCAGTTGGTAGAGCATTGGCCTTAGAGCCTGAAGGTCGTGGACTGCTGTCTTTGTGTCCTTGGGCAAGACACTTAACCCCACTTTGCCTGAAGCCCCTGCTGAGTAATCAAGGCTCCTGTGGACCCACCACCTGCAAGAGGATCAGTAAGGGGCTTGTGCTCTGTGTACTGGGTGCAGCACTGACTGCCACCCCCTTACCCAGAAATGGATTAAGGGGAAGAAAATGGATGGATGGAAAATAAAATGAGTGACAAAGATCATGGTGCAGGAATAAGAGGAGTTACACCAATGAGTTCAGGAGAAAGAACTGAAGCTGGGACAAACAGCTGGTGTCGTCAACTTTCTTCATTTGCCTTTTACAATGACCATACTTGCATGCGAAATCCAGATCCCATCAGACCTCTGAAGCTGGGTGTGGTTAGCACTGTGATGGGAGACCTCTGGGAACACCAGGTGCCACAGTGGGGCGGCTGCGACTGTTAAATGCTAAACTGCCAATGTGTCCTTAGGCAAGACACTCCCACATTGCCTAAAATGAGTCTGGTGTGTGAGTGAATGGTTGGTGGTAGTCGGAGGGGCCAATGGCACATACTGGTTGCCTCGCTTCTGTCAGCATGCCCCAGGGCAGCTGTGGCAACTGTGTTTGGAGTGAAAGAATAATGACATGTGAAGAGTGTCCTGAAAAGTGCTATATCAAACCAATGCGTTATTTTATATTAATGGGCCTTATTTTTGAAAGCTCAATTTGCAATTTATCCATGATTTCAAACAAGCGACAGACACAGACTGACCAGAAAAACTACTTTTAAACACATGGAACGTGTTTGAGTAAAAATATCCTTTTCAAACACAGCACATGATATTTGTCTCAAGTCATTCAATGGAAAGATACATGCCTACATACTGTACATATGTACTGTACACTGTTAAAAAAAATTCCCTTAAAAAACGGAAAAAGTGCTGGTAATTAATTACCAGCACTTTTTCCGTTATTGCACGGGCACTTCCGTAAACCTTAAAACGGATATTTCCGTAGATTTAACTGAGTTTTTCTGTATCATTGACGGACACTTCCGTCAAACCTAAAATGGAAAATTCCGTATTTTCCGTAAATGTTTCCGTTATTGTACGGGCACTTCCGTAAACCTTAAAACGGATATTTCCGTAGATTTAACAGACTTTTTCTTTACCATTTACGGACAATTCCATCAAACCTATAATAGAATATTCCGTATTTTTAAAGTACTCAATCTGTACCATTTACGGACACTTCAGTCATCCTAAAATGTTTAATTCCGTAAAGTTCTCAATACCGTTTACCATCAATAAAGCACAAATGTAGAAACAAATACAGTGACAGAAATTTAGAAATAAACAATTATTTATTTCATTTAACAGCTGCCAGTGCTTTAAAGTTATTGCACTTTTTGTGGTGAATGAATTGCAATATTTACATTACAACCATTAAAACATTCAGAACATCTTCACATTCAGAGCAATTTTACATACATAAACCAGCTGTTTTCTCAAAGAACTACAGCCATGTTCTTTAACAGGGAGCTGCCAAATCTAGCAACGTTTTAGCACCCACAGGTTGACGGGCATTAATAACAAATGGATTTGTTAAAGACATTGACAAAATAAGACAATAAAACTGCCAGCATTGCTGTTGCTGTCTCACCTGTCGGTGCAAAATGAGGAGCCCCCTCCAGGAGGATGCAGAAACCCACACCTCCAGCTCCACATATCACACCGACAGGCAGAGCTCTGCAACCAGTGTCTGACCTTTCTACAAAAAACAAATAGAACATTAGAAGTATTACATTATACAACTTTTCTATATAACATCAGTGCAGCAATAACAACCATTACCTTAGAAGGATGACTCTGTGTAACATGCCATAAAAGAGATTTCTGCAAAAATAACACTTAAAACTTGCACCTCCAACTCCACATTGACAGGCAAAGCTCCGCCTGGAATGACAAATATCGCCCACCTTCCCTCCCCCTTAACATGGAGGGTTTGAAACTGCAGCATGTGTGTTGTGGGCATCTAGTTAAAACATCTGAACTCACATAATACTGTAAAATCTGTATTTCTACTCCCAATCCCCATGTTTTTGGATTTGCGTGTGTGTGTGTGTGCATTCAGTCCAAAAAGAGAACCGCTCAAAAGGCCCACTCAGATTCCTTCTGCTTGCATTCAAATTCCTTCAGCTGAGAAACCAGCTTCCACACCTGTGGAGGAATGAAGTGCCGTTTCTTCCCCTTCTTCTCTGCCTTGGAGCCTCGCTCAGGATTGATCCCAAAGAAAACTCTGAGAAAAAAATAATAACAGTGAGATGCAGACAAAGTTTGCACATGTAGTGTGGCTTGACAGGAGTGGAGCAGTTCAATAAAATCATACATTTGTTTTCTTCAATATGCCCCTATGTGTGAACTTCTCTATCATTCTAGTTGACCATCTGTCTAGTACCCAATGTTGTTGTGGTGCAGGTGCCAGTGGCTAAGCTTATCTATTCCTTTTTCTTTTCAAGACACATACATTCACACTGCGCATATACAGGAATGTTTGCAAGGGCGAGAAGTCTGCTTATCACCAACACATGACAGCATGCATCCTCAACGTGTGTGTAGGGATATTATAAATGCACAGATCACAGAAGGGGATAGAAAACACAGTTGACATCGTCCTATCAAAAGGTGTAACAGCACATTTGAACACGGACTGTCCTGGGGGTTACTCAAACATGGAGTGGAGCAACTGTGACATTCAGTGCATGTTACACATCAAAGTATTAACATTTGGGCATGAATCCAGCATGTATTATTTTTTAAATGAATATGTTTAGTCTTTGCTACTGGAGGGGGTCCCTGGAACAACATATTTTGAGGTTGGAGTCTGCAGCCAAATACATTTCAGTTTGTGTGTCTTTGACATGAAAAGGTTTGAACACCACTGACATAACTTTGTCTCCGGTGCTAATGGTTTTAAAGAGATAGCTCAAACGAATTTTGTGTCAAGAAACCATTCTAAGAAAAATATGTTTTTGCTCCATTTCCCAACTAGAATCATGTTATAAAAAAAGCAGCAAACCCAGGCACTCTAAAACAAATATGCACAGCACGAGGAAGTACTTAAAAAACATGTTGGTTTGGCCATCCTAATAAAGGCCTTTTTAAGTACTTTCTCGTGCTGTGCATATTTGTTTTAGAGTGCCTGGGTTTGCTGCTTTTTTGAAACTTGGATCCCTTTCCCAAGGGCACCTACACAAACATTTTTGGAATATACTGGGACACCTTGAGCAAGCAGTCATCTTGTTGTTTCTAGAATCATGTCATGTTTGTTTTTGATTGACTTGGGACACTATGTAAAGCAAAAAGCATGTTACCTGCCATTTAAAAAAATATGACACATTTATTCCAATAGTCTTTAACAGGGAGCTACGAAATCTACAAACAAATCCATATTTAGGGGGATCATAACAGGGCATAACAAATCGGCACTTGCAGGTCACAGGGACTCACTACATTGAAAACCTATCAACATCACTGAATAATGATGATAATATTATAGTATATATTGATGGTGATAATACTATAATAGAGCACATGTCTGAGAAATTAATATAGTCAGCTCATTACTATGAAGGCACATATTGATGATGATGATAATTTGAACACATTTTGAGCTTGTACATATCAGACAAAGGGGTTTGGTGTATATTATATATGACAAAAAGGTCGGGTGCAGAAAGGCACGGCAAAGTCTCATTTACAAAGTATTTCCAAACAATGAGTGCTTACCTTTGCATGAATTCCAGAGTAAAAGCCATCTCCGGTGGGTATTGGACGTTGCAGACATAAAACATGGAGAAGACGTAGCTCAAGGCCACAATGGGAGAGGTGATGTGGTCATTGACAAGTAACCCATCAACAGCAATCTTGAATTGCTGGTCACCTTAAACACAGAAAAAAACTATTCTGAGCACCATGTACCAAAAAAAAAACATCCTATATTTTAAAGGCAAGCAAAACATTATTTTAATATATACGACAAAACAACAGCTTATAAAACAGCTTGCTGGGATACAAAAAAATATTCAACTACAAACCTCTGACTAGGATGCATGGGGTCACTGGGAGTTCGACTTCAGGATCTGCAGAGATCTGTTTTGGTGACAGACATGACACATGAATTAATTTTTCCAGCGCACACAAACCTGCTGGCAAATTGACTATCTGCTAGTGTCTTCATCAGACAGAGGTAGCCATTAAGCACAGACATTAATGTAAATAGTTTATAGAGAATATCAGCAGCACAATTAGGGGAATCTATACTTCATACTGTGATTGGTTACTTGGTTCACCACTGGATGCAAATAATTATCTTGCACACAGTTTAAAATGTACAACATCTACCTCTTTTTTGTCGAAGAGTTTATAAGAGTCTTCCTTGAAGTATTTTGCAATGCCACAGATGAGCTGTATTGGACCATCGCCAGTCTTCATCCCTTTGAAGTCAAGGAAGTCATAGATCCCCTTTTCTTTTTTGGAAAGTTCCTGTTCAAGGTTCAAGGTGTTAATTTTGTACAGGTACATAAGACTTACACTCATTTTCGTTTGGCCTCCAAAAAAAATAGAAAAAAATAGAATTTCATTTTCATTTGCAACCTGTTCTGTTTTGATCTCAAACGTTCTGCTTTTTTGGTTGCAACTTCCTGATTTTTGGTCTCAAATCTATTCTATGTGATTGTTCATCCAATTTATTATATTTGATTGGTTGCCAGTTTATCTTTTTTGGTCTCAACTCTCTTTTTGGTTGCAAATCTTTTTTTGATTGATTAATAAAGACAAAATTCTTTCCATATGGGGCAGCACAGCACAATCATAATAATAACAGTAACAACACACCTGTGCCAGCTTGTTTTGTACAGAGAAGCCAAGCAGTTTAGATGCATGATCAAACAGGTGAGGAACTTCAAACAGGAACGGCCACTCGTCCTTTACAACGCCAATAGGGGTATCATCATCGTTGAGGATTTCACGCTGAATGGGATATGTTTCAGTCATCAATTTTCGAACAGATGACTCCTAAAGATATGAGGCAGTTAGTTAAACAGTTGAACAGTTAGTCAAACTAACCAATTAAAATAATAAAACAGGGTATCAATTTCAATAGACTATGGGCGTAGTGATGTCAGACGATCTACAATTCCAAAGTGTCCTACAATTTCACATGACCTTACAACACAAGAAAATAATGGATGATTGCAGACCCACCTGTAGATCCCGGGTTTGAAAGGCACGTTTCAAGTCATCTCGTTTAGACAGCAGGTCTTCTCTACACACAGTCCCCTCAATGATTGGATCCCACGCCACACATCCATACAGATCTGAATTCCTGGGCCTTTTCTTTGTTGAATTTTCACCCCCTGCTCCCCTCTTCAGTGAGCTTTGTGGCCTCTTCATATTTTCAAATCTGTGTTCCAGCTGACGAAAGAGGGTTTCAGAACCATCTTTTGCAAAAGGTTTGTTTCCAAACGGCTCTGTCAGCTTGAAGGAGGCAGGATATTGTCCTACAATCATACAGGCGAGTTCCCTCAGCTTTTGTCTACCAGGTCTTCCTGGGTGTTTATGGAGGTAATCTTCAGCGACGATCCGAACCATCTCTCGTCTGTCTTTCCCCATTATGTACTTCTTTTCACGCAACTCATCCATGACTTTTGAGGGAAATTTGTGCCAGGGTACAGAATATGTGTCTTGGGATGGGGAGTCGGCTGTCTCAGGTGGTGTTGAGGGCAGCTGAAACCTCTGTGGCTCAGGTGTTGAGGGGCCAGGCCTGGTGAACTGCGGTGGAGCTTGTGAATCTATGGATAATAGATAAATTAAATTAATCGTTACATCACGATTGTTACGAATCAATTAATACATTTGTCCTCAATGTCCAGTTTGGATCCACCAGGAATACAAATGGACCTAATTATGACAACCAATTATAGGGTAGTTATTGCAGCTGATGGCAACCTTTTGTCTTTTTTTTTGCATTTTTTTGAATAAACCTTTGTAGTTTCAGAAATTGCATTAAAACAGAGGGGCAAAAACTCACCTGCTTCCAATGCTTTGACAGCTCTGACGAATCTTTTGCACTGGATGAATGGCAGAGTGTCTTTAATGTCCTCCGGGTCCACAAGGCTCAGGTCATCTACAGAGAGAACTCCTAATTCCTCCAGTTTAGCCATGAGTGTATCCATCTGATCGCTACTGAGCGATGGCATTGCTTTCTTGACATAGTTTTTCACTAGTTCCATGTTGGCGAGTGTTTAAGAGGAATGAGCCACCGAGTACCTCTCTGGTAAGAAGAAAGTGGATGATAATCATCAAATTTGTTCAAATCATGGCAACTGAACAGGTCAGAAGCATTTTCATCAAGTTCATAGAGTCCAAGCTCAGGTACCCAGCTGGCAGTTTTCCCTCGAAGCAAAAGTAGGACAGTAGTTTCATTTTTTACAAAAATGCTTGCTATTTGTCCTAACTGCAGTTGTCCTTTGGCATAGCTCAGTAAGACCAGCATTCCATTTGCATATGTAGTGCCTTTAACCTGCACTCTCTCTGTGACAACTGAGTTACTTGAGTTCAAATCAAATTCTTCAACCACTGTCTTTATGTTCTGGTCATAGAGCTCTGGATAGAACCGCGTTGAGGCTGAGACATGAACCTGGGGACTAAACAAGGGACCACAAGACTGATAAGCCTGAAGCAACTGGTGCCGTTCAGCCAGAGACTTGGTTACATTTATGAAGTTCTTACTTGCCCTAATGCACCTTTTAAAAAAAGAATGTTTTGATTCAAAGCGCATTGTCCAAGTATATATGAGTGGGCCAAATTGTAAAGTCAAGTGTGCATAGTGAAGCAGGTAGTGGTGTTTCGGTCTAAGTTGAACTCTAGGAAATAACTTTTGCCTCAATTCCACATACAGTTCAATCAGTCCCTTCATGAAAGCAATCTGCGACTCTGAGAGCCGAGGTGCACAGACAAATTCAACAAGCTCCCTCAGAAGTAGTACCAGTCCCCATACTTCATTATCAGCATCTTCAATTGTGTCATGCACCAAAACAGGCAAGAATCTCAAAAGCCACCTGTTTTGGGCTGCCTGCCCTCCAAGCCTTGCTCCTGTAGTGGGAATAGTGTTTAGCTTGTCGCTGCTTTCCCCAGGAAATGATTTGATTCTTTCATTAAGAACCTCATAACTGAACCACTTTTGTGTTCGGATTAAGAACTGCAAAAACAATGCCAAATCATAATCTACTACCCCCTCAAACAGATCATGAGCTAAACAAGCTGGTAAGCCTGGCTGACACACATGAAAGTTGGACAGTTTGTTGAAAACACTGTCACGTTTAACACCGTGATGAGTGTGTACTTCATCGTTACTTTCCAGAAACCGCACAGTCTCATTATGATTAGCTGGATTTCTATGAGTGAAAACTGTGAGAGGGTTCGACTGAAATTCCCTTTTTGTTGCCAAACAGTATCTACAGAAATATTGAGCTGTGCTAAAATTTTCTGTAAAGCCACCAATCATGTGGGAGCCCAGATTATCTCCCATTATGCACGCAACAGTGCCTTTATATATCTTTCCATTGAAAGATATGCCACTTTCCTCCAGCTCACACAAGTCTGACACTAGCTTATTGAAAATCTTATCCATTCCAAAGTATTTGCAATCTTTCTCTACACAGAGTAATGCCAACTGTATCTGATCAACAGTTGATCGTTGGTGTGGATGAAAATTTCCAAGTGTGAAGTAGACAGCCAATACTTTATACTTTGTCTTGGCAGATCCGAGTGGATTAGCCACCTCAAAAGCATCCTGAAAGAGCATTACCTTTAAACTGTCTGGGTCTGAGGAAAACATGGCATTGGATTTGATGGCCCACCCATCAGTGACATCACAGAGTACATCATCTTCAGAATTTGAACTATGACTGTGCTGATCTAAACCTTGCCGTTTCAGAATTACTTTGAGGGTTTCCAGTATTGGGATGTAATGATAGTGCCTCTTCTGGCCACTGCGATTGCGTCCAAGAAAAACTTCAACAGGTTCAACATAGTCATAATGTGACTTGTAATATTTCAGCCTCTTGTATTGCGTAGTTAAATGACCCTTTTCATGTAATGCCTTGTGCATAGGGCTCTGCTCGTATACACTATTCCCAAGAGATGTTACAGTCTCCTTTGGAACACCATACTGCCCCAGTTCACGGGCTAGTGCATCCACAGTATATTCCTGTTGAATATCACTGATAGTTCTCATTTCATTTGCAATTTCTGTTATTGTGGAGGCTGGTACCAAATATTTTGCCTGTAAACCCAAGTAAAACTGAGCAAGACTCTCTATGACGTCGTCTTTCACTTGATCACTGCAGAAATTATCACTTTGTTCTACATCAATGTTAAAACGTTCAGGTTCTTCAGGTTCTACAGGTTCTACATGTGATCCTTCACCTTGGAAAGACCGCTCTGTTAGTTCAGATCTATGAACTGGGGCTATCTTGGTAACATCCCACCCTTTATGGTATCTGGAAATATGCGTTAAAAAGGATGACTTTACATTGAATGTCTTAGAACATCCATCAAAGGGACATGTTACAGTCAAACCTTCATCTATGTGACCACTTAAATGACTCTTTAAAGTTTTAAGATCAGCATATTCACTGCTGCAAAAATTAAACGAGCACTTTAACTTTACAGACACATTGCGGTTCCATGTTTGTGTGCTCCTTCTGTCTACATGTGCTCGTGACATATGCACAGCAAGGCTACTGTATGTGTTGAGCTTCCTTCTGCAATCCCTATGGCCACATAAAAAAAATACATTATTATTATTTCTGTGTGTTCGGCAGTGTTTCAAGTAATCAGTCGAAGACCGGGCGTCAAAGCCACAAATGTTACAAGTCAACATGTTTAAGAGATTGAATTTGCCAAGTGAAGGATAGACAGAATCAATATGAAAACAATAAATTCAGATCAGCACAGTGAAGCACATTCACTTTTCAGATACCTTCAAATAAGCAATCTGCTTTGGGCTGCAATGTTTTCCTCACTGCTTTTTTCACTTTAGGGAATGGAAAGTCTTACAATGCACAGGGGAAATCTGATCCTACTTAATCATCACCCCTTTTAAATTATTGCCATTTTCAGTTGTATGGTAACGTAACACAGCGAGCTATAACTACACACACACGTGGCTAATTTACACACGCACGCACAACTAATGGGCAAACGGGACGTCGTCCACCCACGCTTCAAAATAACGCAAAACATATACATTCAAATGTTACCATGAAACACACACGGCTACCAACTGCCTATCGAGACCAATATAATGTACGAATAGGAACAACAAATTGGCTTTTGACGTACTTACGAAGCGCAGGCGGCGGCTAATGCTAACGCATCTAGCAGCTAACGTCCACTCACGCTTCAAAACTACGAGAAACGCACACATTCAGATGTTGACATGAAACACACACGACTACCAACTGCCTATCGAGACCAATGTAATGTACGAGGGGGAACATAAAATGGGCTTTCGACGAACCCGGTACTTAGGTAGCGCAGCCGACATGCAATGCTAACACAGCTAGCAGCAAAGGTCCCGTGCTCAGCTGCGAGCCACACTACCCTGCTCCGGTTGGAATGCAGACGTTAATGTACAGAAAACGGGCTTATCGTATGTTTAGCTCAATATATTTTGTTTGAGAGGTGGCACTTCATTCCTATTCTCATTACACCCAACCAACCTGTTTCCAACTTTCCCTGTGACTCGCAGAACTTCAGGCTACCACAGACCGCACTGAGTGTAATGGCGTCGGATAATTCTGGCGGGGGGAGAAAATTGTACCCACACTGCATTGCGCGACGGCAAACTTTCCGTATTTCGCAAAACGGAGCGAATCCGTAGCAAATCCACGGTAAAGGGACCCCTAAATTTACGGATTTTTTTAACAGTGTATTTGTGGTGACTCAGACCAAAACTATTGTTTGTTACAGATGAGGGACATTTCAAAACAGTCTGAGGCAGAATGTCATTAAATCTGTTTGATTTGCTCACACCATTACTTTTGGGCACAACCAACATGAACTGGTTGTGGAAGGGAAAATTAGGTACCCAAGCTTTAATTTAGCGAGTGCGCTTTGGGAGAAGACACAGAGGAGACTGGGGCTCCGTTGTCCAGCTTCTGCGCTGTATTTTGTGTGTGCACCGGTTACTCAAAGACACTCACATTACAAGCAGAGAACAGTTCTGTGTGTGTATGGTCTTGGATATGATCACGTTAAGGCGGCGCCGTTCGCCGTCATCACAGCCGCTGGAGGAACTGCTGTCCAGTGCGCCCGTAACTCAGCTCGCAGAGTTCATACAGGAAACAGCAGCAAGTGCCTCGCGGTCACGCGCATACTCTTTTAAAACTTGGATTCCCAGAGGGCCTCCCTGCTTTGTTGCCATCTCAGACACACGTGTCTGATGGGATGCACGGGCGTGCGTCAATCGCATTAATTTTTAAAATGCAATTAATGGAAAAAAAATAATTAAGGTGCGTTAACGCGATAATTTAACTGCCCTAATTCAAACATAAAAAAATAATTCATCATTTACATTGTTTTTAGGTTTTTGAGGTCATCAAGAAATAATAATTTACTACAATATTGTCAACCCAGTTTATACGGGATTTTGCTTACACACCTTCCTTGTAACTTTCAATCATGTGTGCACAATTCTCTTGCCATCGGGGAGGAGAATTTTCCCATGTGTGTTAATAAAGTCTTTGTTTTGATTATGAGAACGTGAAAACTCCCTGTTCTTATGTTTGCAATCACACACTGACCTTTTATGTAATGCTCTTTGCTTGTGCACCAAAGCAAATATTCCCACTGAGGGAAATGAGCCTTTATCTGAATATATTTCTTTGAACAGAGAAGACTAACAATACCAGCGCGCATATACAAACATAAAGAAGAGGGTCCCATAAAATAAAGGTCAATTAAACATTGTATTTTGAAACATTGTCTTTTTTATGCAAATACTTTTTTACCGGAGTGGTCCATTGTGCAACTGGTTTACTTGTTATAGATGTGTTTGTTGGAATGTTGCTCAGAAAGGTCTAGAACTTCCTTCGATTATGGATAATTTTTGTCCTTAAAGAAAAATAGGAATTCTAACACTGTGAAGACGGATCTCACTTTTCCCATGCTTTTTATCCAACATAGAAACAGTATCCTACACAGAATTTAGATGAACTCAAGCAAT